CGCGGTGCGGGCACGTTCCCATACCCCCTGTCCCCGTCCCCGACCCGCCAAGAACAGTCCCGTCCCCGCCTTACGACAGGGATTCAAACATTTATAGGGTCCCAAAAGGATCGGGACGGTCATTGGAGTCGATAGGCGCAGGCGCCACATGCGACATTTGCATCCCACGGTACAAATATCATGTCGGATCCATTGACGCCAATATGACCGTCGAGTTCCCATCATATTTGGACCCCCACCGCCCTAAGGTGACGTGGTTTGAGCACAGACACAAACAATATCCCGTAGCAGGACCCCGTAGGATCCCGTAGGATCCCGTAGGGCTGATAGGCCCGCCCCGCTCGCTCCTCACCTGTGCGGTCGAAGGGTATCTCCTGGCAGTGGTCCGCGCCGCGGATGTCGCAGCGGTACACCGCGCCGCCCCGCGACACGCCGGGCTGGCTCGTCTGCGCCTCGGGGGCACCAACGAGCACCCTGAAAAAAGAGAGAAAAAACCGAGAATGAACAATCACGTTAGGCTATGCCATGACCAACGAGAATAGAGCAAGAGGAGACGCGTATCTTTGTAATTATCGGTGATTACAGTATAGCGCTTCAGAGTCGCGATGACTGGTCGGGTCTGTTGTGTGTGTCTGTGTATATACTGTACAGGCATGCGTCCGCAAACTCACACATGTTGTGCTTCTCCATGCATTTTCGACAGTTTCCCGTCAAACACTAGCGACAAGGACACACGCGCGCGGGGCCCCAAACATGTTTAGTGAGGCGGTTGGTTCCGAAAGCTCTGCTCTCTCCCACTTCTCTCTCTCTGACTCGCTCCTCTCCTGCTGCGGAGTGCGAGAAGCGAGATGCCATCATCAGGATGCGCAGCACCTCCTGCGAAGCGTTTAACGCCCCTCGCCTTATCTGTTATCTATCCTTCCCTCCAGAATATTTAACGGCACCGTAAACGGGTCGGCCCGGCCGCCCCCGGGGGCCCCGTGTGGCCCAGAGGTGGCCTGTGTATAGTCAAAACACAACCAACCAGGGCCCATTTGAAATGGAAGTGGGAAACACGACAAGATTGCTATACCTTAATCGCCTTAGTTTCAGAACGGGAACAAGATTGGTCGAGTCTTATAGAAACTGTGAAACTGTCATGCTGAGACCTTTAGGAGGGTAGAAAGGGGTAATATGCCTCCATCCGGTGATCCCTGATCTCTGCCAAACCACGGGCTACAGTACTTTCAACTTCCGTTTAGAAAATTGACAACCGTAAGAAATTGAAGCGCCAGGTGTAATACCGTCCTTTGTCCCTCCGAAGGCCCCCGCTCGCGTGGCTCCTGATCGCGCTGCAGCTGCGGGGCCCGGCGGGGCCAGCCCGGCGTGTTTATGAATGTTGAGCATGCATCCTGTCGGGCTCATTAGTAAAACCGTCCACACGGCCGGCCGGCCGGGGCAGCCAGCCCGTGCTGCGCGGGGGTCCCGTGCCCTCCCGGCCCACGTAACGCCCCTATGGGTACAAGGCAGACACCACGGCGGCGACACCACCGGAGAGGGTTCCATAACGCGTGCTCAGCATGGACGAAGTCTATCTTGTACTTGCGACAACGAGCTCGTCTCTCAAACCGTGTCACCTTTATGGTTCCCCGCTGACCAGGTGCCCGGCCGGCGCCTCGCGGGGTCACAGTACAGCCGCGGCGCTCCGGCTCCGCGCGTCCCGATTCGGAAAGGTGTGCTGCTATTTGGCGCGCGCATTGCGCCATGCTCGGGTCGTTGTCGTCGTCGTTGCTCAGCACCTTGTTGCTGAGTGCGCGCTGCAAGAGGCGCCATCGGGCGGGACACTCGAACAGAGGGGGCCGACCAGAGGGGACGGAGGAACGGAAGGTGGGAACACGCAGTATAGAGAGAGTTTTTGTTGCTGTTGGGAGTCGCTGGGATTACATGGTCAGAGCAGCAGCCGGGGGTGGTGGATATGCCATCCACGAGGAAGAAGAGAGGTTCGGAAGAGGCGGAGGGGGGAGTCATGCGGAAGGAAGAGGGGGGCAAGTGGGGGTCAATGCCATCGCATCACATCACGCACAGACTCTCTCGCGCAGCAAAGCCGAGCCCTTCCTTCGGAGGCCCTTCCTCCTCCCTAAGGGCTTCCAGTCGCAGAGGGCGAGGAGAGGGAGGAGGAGGCAGGAAGACGTGATTTTTTCTGGCCTCCGTCGGCAGGCAGCACCAAGTCAAGTCGGCAAAGAAAAAGCACTCGATAAAAAGAAACGTCCAAACGTGACCCCTCGAGCACAAGCGTTCGTCCGGAGGATGAAGCGCATGGGCCGTACGGTACCGCACCGCACGAGCTTAGGCCCCGTGAGCGAGTGAGTCGTCATCCGCTTTAATTTGGCTCCATTCAGGCGCACTGATCAGATGGCGGCCGGGGCCGTGCGCAGCTCAGTCAGTACCATACCATAGTGCCTCCCCCCCCTCCTCCTCCTCCTCTTCTCCCGCGGCCAGGTGGCGGCGCGCAGACCGCGGGGCACAGCGTGCCACAGCGCATGCGTTTATTGCTCATCGTTCGGCTGACCTATGGCGGGGCGCTCCTGGGGTTTGATTTATCACATGGCTTGGGGGAGGGAGAGGGGGGGGGGCGTATATGCGGGACTGCCTTGCAGCACGCAGCAGCTGCGCTGCCCGCCACCGGCCCCACAAGCCTTGCTTCGCCCGCTTCCGATATTGACATGCCAAGCCCAGGAGGGCCCCGCATTGGCATGTCAAAGCCCGCCGAAGCGCTGCTGCTATGCTGCTGCTCCCTGCTTCAAGCCTGCAGGAGCAACATTATTATTTGCCCGGCCCTGACCCGACCTGCCCCAACCCTTCCCCGGTTGGGATCTCGCCGAGCAAAAGGCAAACAACGATTAATAACACGTGAAAGCCGGCCGGGCAACAGCAGCAGCAGCTGCGGAGCAGGGCGGGCATATTACTCATACACCCGAACCCAATTGCTCAATACATTTTTTCCTAGATTTCTTTTTTTTTCCGGCCTCCGCCTTCTGCCCCCGCCACTCCTGGAGGGCACGCCGCCAATACGTCTCCTCAATTCATTCACACCTTCCTCCAGGACCGCGGCGGCGGTGGGGCGAGGGGACCGGCGGGGACCTCTCGAGGCGACGCTACCCTGCCAAGCTGCTGTGCGCCCGCCGGCCACCGCTGGGCCGCGACCGCCGCGAGGCCTCCACGGGAGGGGCCCCCGCGCAGCTGGCTGAGCTGAACCGGGTCAGTGTCAAGGATGTCTGCGCGACTCCATGGCAGAGCCATTGGCGCCCGGCCCGGCCCGGCCCGCCCGGCCTTTTCTCCAATAATACTGTGAAGTAATTGTCGGCAAGGCGTCAGCTCGACGGAAGCCCATGTCAGTTGCGGTCAGTTGTCCCCGCACACACTAGAGAGGGCGGACGCTGCGGAGGAGCTCCACGACAGGCGCATTTTTAGCAGTATTTACTCTCTGCTCTCGTGTGTGTGTGTGTGCTAAGAAGGAGAAGTGGGATTGGTGGGGGAGGGAGGGGGGAGGGGGCGATCCTCGCGGAGCGACCGGTGCGATGCGGTCCATATATGGACGGATCGCCTTGGACCGGAGGAGAGAGAGAGAGAGAAAGAGAAAGACTGCGGGTGACAAGGAGAGACGCGAGGTACAGTACAGACACGTGGTTATGGTGCGGGTTCAGCCAGCCCGCTGCCAGAGTGCGCAGCTCCGCAGCAACAGCAGTAGCCCGGTCCCGTAATCTATATCGCCAGCTATGACCTGCACTCATTTCAACCATCGAAGCTTCCGTTTTCGTCGCGGTTCTCGGGATAGAACATAATAACCTAAAGTTTCTGTTTCCTCTGCACTGGAATCACCGGGCCATGAATTTAGTGGGTGCGACCGTACGACGAACGGCGTGGTCCGTCGCGGTCCTGACTCACTCAGGTATTTCTGTACAGTCCAGCCAGTCACCCATAACCCGGACGGGGGCAGCGGCACCCGCGAGGTGTTGCGTAAGGGACCCCCGCGGAGCGGTGTACGGACACACCTGTCACCTCCCAAAGGTCCCCCGCACCCCGCGAGTCCGACCAACCGGAGCGTGCGTTGGAAACTTGTCGGAAATTTTGCAAATTTAAAAACAATTTTAACATGGTTTGGTGGTAGAAAAATTTAGATAATGCCAAGTTTAGACTCTTTGATTTGGATAGATAGGCCGGGCTACGCTGCCGCCGCGGCGCACCATCTGGAGCGCGGCGTGCACCACAAGACCGTGATTCACCCCGAGCCGGTCCACCCACACACCGCTACATCAACAGCGCGCGAGGACCG